CAGCAGAATTCTTGGTTCATCTGTTGATGGCTGGGCAAATGCAAAGAATCTTAACGTGAGACACCGTAGGACAAGTTCACAATCAATGGTGACGGTGGCTTGTTTGCCGACCAAAGCTTCCCACCACCATGTCATGGGAACGTTCACCAACGTTATAGCGTTCATGAGCATCTCGCAGTAATCGTAAAGAATCAATTCAATTTTCATTTGTTGAAAAAATTGCTCGGCCGTGATCTAAGCATTCGCCTTTCCGATGTTTGAGTGACTCAGAATGTCTGTAACTAAACTTCAACCCCATACGTAGCGTCGGTAGCGAGGCCTTTCTCTCCGAAAATGTCTCTTAAACCTACGATCAATGCACCAGGCAAACATTGAAATTTGTGCCACGGTCAAAGGAAAACCTCTATTTGTCACATACTCGATGTAATTACAGAGCGACAGCTTATGCTCTGCTGACAACGCTGTTGGTTTGCCGGTACAGTCTTCCTTGACTCATATCGAGAGGCGATCTGTGAGTGTCTTGCGTGGCACATTGAACGTACGGGCAGCGGCTAACGCGGGAAGATTCTAATCTCAGCAGGCCGGCTGCAAGAGCCCTATCCATGTCCTTCTGCCTCCACAATCTTAGTTTTGTTCCTTTTCATGAAGTCTTCTTGAATGGTAAAAAAATATTAATTAACATACTCGAACAAATCCATGTACCGTTCGTTTTGATCACACAAAATAACGTATGTAAATATTTATCATCCGACGTGAGTTTTATCCTTTAAGGTTCAATTAAGTGCGTGAAATTGTTTTTATTTTTTTAATCTCTTTATTTTACGATATTGAACGAGGTAGTTTACCTTATTAAGATTATGTGTAAGAAAATCGACTCGTGTCACGCTTATTCCAACGAGCTCAGGCACTTCAATGCAGCGCTATATTCACTTCGCGTAACTCCGATCGATGCAAGAGTGTCGTGCGCGACTTTTGAAGTCATTTTACAACGTTTTTAGAAACTAATTGCTAATTCTGTTGGAAAGAACTCAAGTGTAGGGCTATTCCAACCTCATTTAATAGGCGATCAAAAATATGTACACAAAGGGTAATGTTACGCGATCTTCTGTTTATCAAAGGACAGCAAATGGATCGTAATCTGATACCGCGTATGTATGTACACAACCCGCAATGTCACTGAACTTCACCGACAAATTTGCTCTGATATCACCAGCGTTGCTTGCCCATCGCTGGTGCAACAAGCCCCGCATTTGATTTTGTCAACGCAAATTACCGTCCGTGCGAGCGATAAGCAATAAAGACGCGATAGCTACTGATTCTTAACCGCTAATGAATTCGATAAATAAGCATTCGTCATAATTCGATCAACTTTATATAGGTTCATGAATTAAAAGTGAATTAAACCAGAACAATTCCTATTATTTGGACAAAAATCATTGGCTAGATCAATACAGATAAGAAGCTTACGTATTTACGTCCCACGTCAATCGTCATGTTGTAAAAATGGAAGATACATGCTATACGTAAAAACATATATTGTATTCCAAAATGTGCGCATCCACTTCACACATTCATCCTTCAGGAATCCACCCAGCGTAAATGCTTTACAACACACGTCGATACATATACAGTTGCTACGTGACACATATTCTTACAAGGCTGCCTCACGCCACAGATACGCTAATGATGGCCAGCAAAAGCTAAGGAACCATACAAGTAAAACTCAAATACTGTTGATACAGACAAACTAGCTATTTCACGTAAATTCTTCTTCCTTTAAAAAATTCACGTCATAACAAGCATTTTGAAACGATTCTTTATGGTACTAAGCAATTAACATTCCAGAACCGATGCAATCAATTAAATCAATATTCAAGACACGCGCCAGCACGATGAAATTGCGTCACTTAATTAACGGTAATGAATTAGTCTCCTGTGGACTGGACTAACGTGAGATTATCAGTTGTACTTACAGCAATCGTGTCATCTACGATCTCTCCATTTACCATTATCGTACCGTCAACGATTTCTATCAATAACCGCTTGAACCATCTCCCATTTACGAACATTGGGGGCGATGTATGGTTTTTATCTACACGACCATCGAAGCTCCGATGGTCTCCCTACTAATGACTAGCAGTATACAGCATCTACTGCCACTGAAGCCCACACAATCTCTCTACTTACAGCCATCGAGGTGCTAACGGGCTAACGGCCACTGAAACTTTTAGCCACTATTACGATTATCAATAAATACTGCCATATATCATCACGGAATGCTAGCATACTACTTCATCACGGAATGGTACCATACGTTATCACGGAATGTTACTATACATCACTGAAATTTGAATTTTCTACAATACATACATCACGGAATGCTGCCATACAACACGGAATTCCACGGAATACTACCATACAACAAGGAATTCCACGGAATACTACCATACAACACGGAATGTTACCATACATGATCGTGAAGATCATGAAGGATTTAAACTATGCGGCTTCGATAGGTACAAGTTCGTACTTCTCTCTAAAGACTGAATGTCTATGGATTAGGATTACCTAGTCATTAGAAATATTCAAAGAATAGGAACACAAATAATATCTAACTAAAAATGCTAATTGTTTTGTTATTAGTAGTATATCCTAACAATAGTCGGCTACAGATATTCAGGATTACCATTTCCTTGCTGAATAGTACTAGAGTAGCGAGCGTAAATTGAACAATAAGTTTGAGATACGCAGACGTTAAAATGGTTAGACGGCAGGATTATCAACATTGACATGTTATTTATTACTACTAGAACTCACCTCTCAGATATCCTGAAGTACCGATGAGTCAATAACTTTGATGAACTATAATTTACTTCCACGTCGCACGATATGAAACCACGAATTTCAACGTGGTCGACTAGCAAGATTGAAACTAGATCAACTAACGGGGAATCTTTCCTCGGCTTCCTAACTTTACAAAACGCCACCGAACACTCGTTGAAATCTCCGAGAATATAAATTTCACATTTTAATTGGATTGTATAATACTACAAAAAGCCAACACCATAATCCTTGCTTCGGTTTCTTTTATAACAGGTATATAGAGTTTCATACGGCACACAATTGAACGCAACCTCACACTCGAAAAGCTATAGACGCACTGGCAGATGAATTATGGTTGCGCCGCCGGTTAGACAAAATTTACGAGATAAAATTTTCATCGTAATTTAAGCTTTGATTCAAATCTCTATCCATAATACCTATGTTCGTACTAATGTCATTTCAAAATTTTTAATTCAGGTGTTGCAAAACTCCTCCTCTACTTCATAATTAATAAAGTTGCATTCGAAACGTCGTAAAATTATAATAAAATGTCCCTTAGAAACCTGATATTTGACTTTTCAGTTCCTATCAAGAGCCTAATCCGCCGAATGGAGAAGAACAATAAGAAAATTGTCAATAAGAAATACTCTCTGGTCTTCAATGAAACATTCATTCATTAACGTAATAATTCATTAACGTAATGTGAAGCCTTTACATTCTTATGATGTCTTGAAATATTGGTTTTTACATGGTTTTCGATTCAAGGTTTCAGTTAGAAAATTTGCTGCGATTCTAAAATTCTTATATCCGAATTATTTGCTCTGTCACTCACTGCAGTAAGTACTGAGTTATATTTTTTAACCTCTCCTGGGTTTACGTCTCCGACAAATTAACGGCCGGACTCGTGGCCAGTCTCACGACCAATTTCCAAATTCAATAATCAAGGAATATCTCTCAAACTAATGAACTTAACTCGATGAAACGCGGTACATGTATTCATTAGGACCTAACGGTACGGTAATGTAAAGCTCGTGAAAAATTTGTGAATTTTGCCTTCAATTGTTTTTGCCATACTTATATGGCAATACGGGCCGAAATTCACAGTGAACAAGAAATTTCTTCCAAACTACTGAACAGATTCGAACGAAATTTTGAATTTACAGTCCTAAGTACCAAACGGTTATGCTTAGCTCGTGAAAATTTTTTCGCTTGTGCCCTCGTTTGCGAGTTTCATTCGTGATTTAAACAGCAATACGTGCTTAACTTCGCAGTAATCAAGAAATTTCTTCCAAACTAATGAACAGATTTGAACGAAATTTAGTATTTTAATACCTAACCGCAGCAACGGTGATGTTTAGCTCGATACAATTTTTTCGTTTTGCCATCGTTTGCGAGTTATACGGCTATACGTAAACGGCTCTTGGTTAAACCAGCCGGTAGAGAAGCCGATCGTTCCTCCTGTATCTGTATAACTAGCGAACGAAGGCGAATAAGGAAGTGTGAAATCAAGAGTGACAGTGAAATGAAAAAAATCACCCAAACTACGGTATAATTAAAAATTTTTTAATCTAAAAAACACCATTTGGCAGTTATGAATGTATATTCAAATTTTCGTTCAAATCTGTTCGGTAGTTTGGAAGAAATTCTTTGATCACTGCGAATTTCGGCCTGTAGCGCAATACTGTATAACTCACGAATTAAGGAAATATTAAAAAATTTTCGCAAGCTAAACATCTCCGTCAAGTTCTGATGAATACATGTTACAAGTTTTATTGAGCTGCGTTCATTAGTTGGAATGATATTACTTGATAATTGAATTTGGAGATTGGTCGTGAGACCGGTCACGAGTCCGGCCGTAAATTTCCCCGAGACGTCCTAGGTTTCTAGTGCTGAAATGGTTAAAAGGGATGAAAAACATATTGGTTCACTAAAGGGGGTTCTATTTGTGAAGTACACATTTGTGTTTAATCTTTATCTTTTAAAATTGCAACGTACTAAATTTTATAGAAAGAAACGCATGATTTTATATGTGTCTGTTGGGAACGCTAGAAATTCACTAGGGAGCCAAAAAGGGCGCCAGCCTGAAAAAGTTTAGGAACCACTGAGTTAAGCGAATAGGCAAACATTGGTGCGTCTGACAGAACATGACAGAAAAATTAGGATAGAGAAAGGTTAAACACTTGAACGTCTTTATTTTTCTCCTGTAGAGCGGGCTGCAGGGATCCAAGTTCGGCTTTCAACCACGCGATGTACGAGGAAAAATCCTCTAAGCACTCCAACTGCAAGTCAAGAGCAAAAAAAAAATCAAACGTTTACCTGAAGACAACTTGATCGAGAGCAACAGGTTGCCATGATGTTTGTTTTAGAACACAATAATACATGTTAATGAGTGCCATAAAAAATAAAAAAGATATTTGGCAACGCGGCGAGCTCAAACTAAATTCAAAAGCACAATAAAGTTGTTAGACGCTTACCTGAGAGGGCGCATCTATTTTCTAAAGTTGAGAGAGCCAATGCACTAGCTAGTTAAAAATTATCAGTCACACAAAAGCAATAGAAAACCAATCATTATTAGTGGAGAAGCACATATTCCAAATCACACGTGATCTCGAAAATATTTCAGGTGATGACATGAGAGCATGAAAAACGCAAGAGTGAAAACAGCGACCTGCTGCGCGTGGTGCAGGAACAAGGCTCGGGTGTTGACGAGGACGGCAGTGGAAGCGCTGGGGTGGAGCTCGCGTAGCCCAGTAGACGCAGCGGCCAGCAAGTCGTTCACACCTTCAGCAAGTCGTTCACACGTCACCTCAGCTGTCTTACCACCTGCCAATTGTTTACAGCTTAGATCTTCACGTACTCGTGGTGAATTAGACATATAGTGATTGATATAGAAAACAAAAGCTAAGAAAGCGTTGGCAGTGGTACCGCCACATCATCGAATGGCGCGATTATGTGGCGACCACATCATCGAATGGCGTGATGATGTGTAGATAATTTATCTACATTTTTTAACAGGATGGCGCGCAATCGTTTATTTTGGGAGTATATATCTTAAATGAGTATTATTACTAAAATACATGCTCCTTAAAGGTTCGAACCCATCTTCTAGGTCCATAAATTTACATTACAAATAGTATAACAGTAGCTATTACAACGAAACATATGACGCATTTATAAAATTTAAAAAGATAAATTTTTATGCACGATATTTACATCGCTACAAAGCCAGAAAAACTTTCCAGCAACGTAGCGGCAAGAGCGTAGCATGGCTACCACAAACTCAAGGTTTGGGCAAGGCACAAACTCAAGGTGGAGCTTACGGCAGAGGCGTGGGTAGCCTGCGAATTTCAACGGATTTGTCTGTGTTGGAGACGAGGGAAGCGTAGTCTGTCTTGTCAACCACAGGACCAATCCGCTGCTGCTCTAACACCGATACCGCAGCCTTGTGGTTCGACACCTGCACAAGATTGAACATTTTTAATCTTATCATATATTCATTATTGCATTCACGAAAAGCTAAGAACAAGCCTAGGTGAGCAAACTATATTGTCTTCTAAGAACTCAATCCTATATCTTTCAACAGACATAATTACGTAGAGAGTACGTATACTGCGCATATATATGTACAGTATATACGCAATATACCGCTATATTGCGCATATTTGATAGCAGCCAGAAATAAATAGCAGTTGAGGCTCACACCAATAGGTAATCCTTGGATGCCTGAGCAAATTTTTAGACTTGAAACATCCAATGACATTCGAGATGAAACTCACTGCAATGCTATGAGTGTGTCCTCTAAAATAATATTTCCAGAAATAGAGGTGGTAAAATCATTAAAGCTGACACTGTTATTAGGTAGATAAATATCTTTTTACAGGAGAATTGTAGGGAATCATGAAAACTTTGATATTTAACATTGACTTTGACATTTAAACTTTGACATTTTTGACAATAAAAAATTTCCTAATACAAAAATCATACAGAATTCATGTAAATTTGGCTTTAGGTTTGTTGGCTAAATATCAAAGCATTATTCCATCACCTGGAAATCTGTATATATTTCACCTGCATAACAATGCTACCTACATAAAAAAATTTCCACTAGCTTATTTAGTTCAAGTTAATTTTGGTACCTTCGGCAAATTATTTTAGAAGTTGCAATTAGCTCTTAGTGAACTTTTTTTAGGATTTTCAGACCTATGATATCAATAGATAGAAAAAAATTTATCTACATTTTTTGTGCACCAATTTCTTTGGGTGCTGGTAATCAGGAATGTTGGAAGCAAAATTCTTGTCAGAAAATGTAAATGAAGAATATGGATTGAATGCATTATTAATTCAACCCTTAAATTGATTTATACTTACATTTGTGTATTCCTCTTGAATATATTGCAAAATCCTGTAAAGAACTACCTATTATCAGTGGGTTTGGTGGCAGCTAAATAAATGCTAAAATTTAGATGACTGGAGAAACAAACACCTATGCATCACTTTAAGAATAGACTATAATTCTGTAAAAGTACCACAAGCATTATGCTAAATTAGCTTGCTAAGAATACAGCATATATAATTGACATGCAAACTTTCAGTGCAGCAGTTTGAATTCAATAAACATCATGCATACATAATATAGTACATAATTTGGCAAAACCTTTTTTTAATATGCAAGTTTGATTGAAGACCAGAGCAGGCTTCCTATTAACAATGCTCTTATTTTTTTTTCAATGAGTTGAACAACATTACTTGCTGGTGCCAGGAGATCAAAAAGCAGGTTACCAAATGAGGTTACCAACTAAAAGCTCACATTTGAAATTATATCCACAATACCCTTGAATTATTCTACTCAAGGTTTGTACCAGTATTTAGAAGAAAATTCCTTGACTTTTCCATGACTCTCCATGATCACCAATATAATTTTCCAAGTCTCATAAACAACAGGTTTAGCATGACTGAAAGACTAACCATGCATATTCTATAGTCTCCTACAGTTGATAAATAGCAAAAGTGTAAATGCATAGAGCAAACAGACACAAAGGAACAGAAATGAAATAACCCATATCTGAAAATCAAGCCCACACTGGCTTCCTTCTCTAGTTAGAATGGTTGATATTAATACATTTTTGTTCATGTGCTGGAAAATGAACATTTATCGGAGAAACCGCTTCAATGGAATTTCACCATAGGGACCCGCTGAATTCCAGAAAATTTTACCTACAAAATTATCAACTGGTCATGACCAAGTCACAAAGTCACAAGTCATAACAAGGCTTTTAAGCATGAATTATTCTTGAACAATATTCTAGATACAGTACCTAACTTCTTATTCATGAAGATTTATAAGAATATAAGTATATTATAAGAATATACAGTATGTAGGCCAGTTAAGTATCATGGATACCATTATTATCATACATAAGAAATTGGTTTAAATATTGAGTAAATAACAGAATTAAAAATGAACTGATTCTAAAAATCTCTGGTTTGCCACTATGCATGCCATGGCAGCAGCTAAAATGGCATGATGGCGGCATTGGCTCAAGTCAAGTACTCAAGCTGTTCCAAGGCTGAAGGCGCAAGCGTGCACTGTAGCTTATTTCTTCTGCTATTGAAACTCTGCAGTAATATCAATAGATTTTAAGTCGCAAATGATAGCTAACAAGTAACGGAACAACCTAAAACTTCAAAATTCAACACCTGAAAACTGAAAAATTCTGAATTTATTCAAGATTAAAACAGGCTGGTGAGTGATGGCTAGATCAATCCTGTCAGCAGCTCTAGTTATGGTTTGGAATTCTGGTGCAGAGGAATGTTTTTTTGTTGTTCAGTGTCATTGCCTTTAATTAAACACATTTTATCATTTAGAATTTTTAGCAATTATTAAGAATTTTTAAAATGAGTGGCCAAATTTAGCTGCAAACTTGATAGTAAGGGTGGCATATGGGCAAATCTGTACAGTTTTTGTTAGAATAGCTTAAAAAATGGCAACAATTACCATAAATCAAGTGAAATAAAGTGTAATTGAGTCATTTCATATCACATTTTATTATTTTTAATTAAAAATTTTTAATGACATGCAATTTTTAGCCACAAACTTGGCAATAAGTACTATTTTTTAAGCACGGTTGCCAGACGGTCATTTTTTTGGACAAATTCCGTGATTTAGTTTTTCTCAATTGCATTGGCCGGCTAATATTTATGATAGGGGTACTTCCTAATTAAATTTTAAATACTCTAAGAAGAAAGTAAATGGAATTTTTATAGCGGAACCTACAAATAAACTAGTATACATTGAATTATCGGCCTTTTTTGGCCTTTTTTTGTTCTCGGATTTGGCCAATTTTAAGCAACCTGAATTATGTACCACTATCTCCTTAAGAAATACATTTCGTGGTACACATATGTACCAATACGTAGTCAACGTGTTAAAAGAAATTAAAAGGTCATATTTAATTAACAAATAAATTGCTTATATTAAATCAATTGGTATCAATTAGAAACCTAGCATTATTGTTGTGGCTACATTCAGTGCCTTGAGATTGGGTGAATACCTGCCAAGTTGTCATCTACACAATGAATGTACTTGAAAGTCTGAAAGATAGTTTTGAATTATTGGTGATCCTACTTTTCAAATCTGATAACAGTGATAAGCCACATATTATTGTTATTTTCAATACTCAACATCTCTTGACTGGCGTATAGAGTAAAACTCGTGGCAGGCTGGAGTACCTAACTCTGAACATAGGCTATCTGAAACAAGAATTAGCCTACCTAGGTTAGGTACCTGTAAATTTTATCTATTTTGGAATAAGACACATTGCCATTCAGACTGCAGGTTACTTCGTGTCCCATGCTCAAACATATTGCATTTAAATACCACATTATGATTATCTCAACTCAACATATCCCATGATAATCAGGCTGTGATTGGGCAGTACTGCAGTGCAGTAGGAGGCATTAATAAATTAGACAAAAATGCTCATGAATCTGGCCAATTTCAACTGTTCCTATGACCTCTGTCCAACTTTAGTAAAATACAGCCTATTTTTACCTGCTACTTCATGCATCCTACATGAACATTGCATCCTACATAATATTCAAGCTCACCAGTCACCACCAATATTCCAGTTTCAGCCCTACCCTAAGTCTTTAGGCGACAGGCCTAATAACAAATGTTGTAATAACAAATGTTTCTTATTTATTCTTATATGAGCACTGGAAACTAGTCCATAAAGCCCCTTGCCTAAACTGGCTTTAATAAATACCTAACAGTTTAAGTTTAACAGCTCTAAAAGTGAAAATCCAAATAGGCCTTATATCGAGTTTCAACTTCCCGGAAAAATCGCGGAATTGCGGAAATTCTCGAATCGCGGAATATTTTCACAAACTTTCTCAAACCAAAAAATTACTGTAAGGATCTATTTAAACAACAACAATCTATTTATTAATAGACAAAATAAATTTGACGCATAATTATTTAGAACGATAAGCCTCATGGCTGAGCCTCATGGCGTGGAGGAGGTCTCGAACAAATTTACGGCGGACCCGCAGCCGGTCTCGTGGCCGGAAAGATTTTCTTATTGTTTTATTGGATTTTTCTAGGTTTTTTGTGTTTTTAATGGAACCTGTTCCTAACTAATCCTAACCTGCGAGGTTTTCGTTGATTGGCTCGGTTTTTTCTATGTTTGGAGTCCGCCGGCCACGGGTCCGACGGTAAATTTGTCCGAAACGTGTTTAACAAATGCTACTAGTATTATTAGTTATTGTGTTTATTTACTCTTTACTGAGTATACATAGAATATAAGTACAATAAGATAATCAAAATTTTTTAATTGACGGACGAGTGAATCCATGCTAATAAACAGATGAAATCTGTTAGTGCATGTCATTAAATCTAAGAAGTGCTTTTCATTTTTTGTTGATCATAATTTCTCCTTATTTTCTCTAATTCTTAAGATGCTGTCTATGTGGAAAAAGCTTTTTACTTGCCATAGGCAATGTGCCTGTCCATATAAAACGATAAATCTTTCATTGAAATCAGTGCTTCAGTCTGCGCTGTCCTAGAGCGGAGACCCGTGCAATGGAGCGCCAGCCCGCCACACAACCTGCTTCGACGGGAGTCAGAGCGACACTGTCGACTACATACATGGAACAGCTCTTCACTCTCTCTTTCATCGTGAATCTTCTTTGATTTTCTCATCCTTGCACATAGATGTCAATCCTCGTGCGACTCTACATTTATTTGCTCTGCCTTTATAAACTATCACAGTGCTATTCTTTGTTATTCTTTATTTACTTCTCTTTGTTATTCTTTAACTTCCTCTGCCATCCACCTAGTGTTCTATCGTGATAATAACTCTACCTCGGCTCTATCCTCGTGCATTCCTTTCCTCGATTTGCTCTGCCAGGCACCTATAGTGCACATTTGCCCTGCCAGCTCTACCCTGCTTTTTACCGATCTTACATATGGCGCTACATCACCGTTGAAGCTCTATAATAATTTGCTCTACTTTTATTACCTCCATTTGCTCACTCTGATATGCAACTAGTGCTCTATCATCATGCTAGCTCTACCTCGATTTTCCCCGCCGTGAACCTAGTGCTCTATAAACGTGCAAGCTCTATCTTGATTCGCTCTTCATATAACCTACTGCTCAATCCTCGTGCAAGC